GGGGGCCTGAGCGCCTTTAGTTAAAGGCCAAAGTGCCAAACCATGAGGCGACGAACAGGTCGAAGTGACGACGGCCGCTCTTGTCTGCAGAGTGCATTAGCCCTTTACGGAAACTTATATAAGAGTTGAAAGTTGAAGCTGGTACAAGTGGTTGATCAGACCACTCATCCACCGAAATGCCATAGCTTCGCTGGACTGGATAGGCAAATCGGCTCCAGTCCCCACTTCAAAAGAATCCCTGTGACTACAAGGGGCACACACACAAGCCACAGAATTGCGAGCTGTTTCATACCTTCTTGCTTTTGGGTTTTCTCGATGTTTCTCGGTGTTGCAGGATGTGTTCCCATCGACAGTACTTGGGCAAAAGATGCTTTGGGCTGCGAAGTGTCATTACGCCGATTGAACATCTGGGGTGATGATGCAGGTGCGGTGCGACATTGAAACTGTGAGGGAAGAAGCTTGAAGGAAGATTGACCATAAGAAACATGGGACCTACGATTCGGAAACTACGACTTTTCTGCAGAAACCATGATTGAGGGACTACACTTCGGAAACCACATATTCAGAGACCAGATTCGTGCTGTATATGATTCAGTAACTACATGCTGGAACTACGATTCAAAATCAAGAAAGGTGCCGGCGTTGTTAAGCACCCGGAGTTAAGCGCACGCCAGTTAGTGTGGTCAGGTAGATTTCCCCACGAAACGCATTCTTTTTGTGCATGACTTTCATGCATTGATTTTGCACTGTTTTTACCAATCCAGGCAGCATGTTTTATGTAAATCACCTTGTAGTTATGGTTCCATGTCTGAAAATTTTGGCCCTCAGCATTTTCTTTTGGCTGATGATGTTATATAGCAGAAAATTCTGTACTGCACAAACAAAATGCACAGGGTTTCACTTGCGAAGAGCTGCATGCAATGATTCACTCTATCAGGGGTATGTACTGACATCGGATTGGACGGTTCAAGCAGCATTGGGTGGGAGAGGAGGCTGGCTTGACTTGAGAATGCCAAAGGCAGAGAAAGTATCAAAGATATTGCCCTGCACATCAGAATGGTCAAGAATATTACACTGGGGAGGAAACGACACTTCATGCATCAAAGGTTCAGCAAAACTACATTGGATCAAGAGATTTCTTAATGGCGTGCATCAGTCACAGTCTCCTGACCTGGGCCTGAGTCATAGCACGAGGTAAAACTAAGCTGCAACGACTCCAGAACTGTCTGTCCATGTCCAAATGTTTCTTGTTTTTGCAGCGCTCCCTGTTGTTGTTGTTTGAATTTTGCCAGGCGTGTTGACACTCGTGGGTCCTGGCTTTAATGTGGTTCGTGACATGACCTTCCCAGCAGAGGGCCGCAACTCGGACAGAAACTATGCCAACTATGCAAGCTTTTGCGATTTTGATGTTCTAAAAGGTTATTTGATGTTATTTGAATGGTGTTGGAACGTGCTAGAACTCCCATTCATTTGCCTACATTCTCAGAAACAATGCTATCATTGGTCCAAGGTTCTCTGGGTTTTCGCAGGGTTCGGAGCAAACTCGTTTCGTAAAGTTTTACTTACGCTCCATGACGCTCCATCTCACTCCTGGCGCGAAAAGAGTAGCTCTGTTGAAGGGAAATGTAGGCTCAGCTCAGTTCATGACTGAGCCTTTAGCCACTTTAGCCTTTGGCTGATGCTCTATTGTTTGATCCAGCACCTCTATAGGCGATGTTCTTGTTTCTACCAGGCACACGTTCTCGTTGCCAGCCGCTGTTCCAAGGCAATGGCGGTGACATCAAATATGATGGTGTTCGAAATGGCTACGGTTCACTCGTGCTCTCGGGGCAGGACTATGAGCTGACAGGACTTTTCAATGGTCCCGACAGGTCATGGACCTAGCTGCCAGTGCAGCAAAACAAGGGTGAGAAGTTTCCCCAATGCGATGACCACAATGTTGATTCTGCTTGCCCTAAGTTGGGATTTGTTGCAATCATCGCAATCTTCTTTTTTTTCTTCTTCTCTCTCTCTCTCTCTTTGTTTGAAGGTCATGGATTGTGGAGTTCTCCGACCCAGTTCTGGATGATTATTTTGGCACTGATTGGGTGAATCTGAGGGTCGGTGGGGAGACCTGCCAACTCAGACAAAGCGATGATCGTTCCTTCATTTGTGCCATGGGCGAATTTGGAGGCCTGTGCAACTCTCGCACCTTGTCCAGCCATAATATCATTGCTGCTGGTCACGTCAGATGTGCTGATGGCTCGCCCAACCCCACGCCCAGCCCACCCAGTCCGTCCTCTACACACACAAGCTCCACAGTGTCCCAAACAACGTCCACTACAAGTTCCTCAGCTTCGACAAGTCGACAAGCCCCAGTGCTTTTTCCACCTATCAGTGGAGGCTCAGCAAACTGGGCTTTGCATCGTGAATTGAACTGTTGGGACGGTCATGGAGCTCGTTCGTTGCCAAACTCGAACCCACTTCTTGGCACTTACACCGTTGAAGGGTGTCGAGAGCAGTGCGAAATGAATCTGGAGTGTGAAGCAGCTGTGATTGCCAAGCACGTGAGCACACCAAAGTTTCCCTGCTTCCTTCGAACGATCCTTCAGATCTCTCAGTGCCGGGACTATGCAGATTTCGACGTGTGGGAAATCCGAAGGACAACAGTGACCGCAAGCACCACATCCAGAAGTACTGTCGTTACGTCCGCAACCTCAACCACAACCTCAATCACAAGCTCCGCAAGTTCCACAAGCTCCAGCTCTTCAGGCACAGATCAGGTCTTCACATGTTTGTGCTGGATTCAACATATCCTGAGTCTCCTGAACTCTCCTGGTGCTTTCATTGTTATCGCTTTTGTCACACTCACAACTCCTTCCTTTTTTCCCCTTGTCCATCAAACCTTCAGGAGACTTTGTTCCCGTTGATGGAGGCATTGACAGGGCATGCCGTGGAGCTTCATCCGGTGACAACAGTCCCAGTTACTATGTCATACAGAATGGCATTTCAGGTCTGGAGGGTTGCAAGGCAATATGCATCATTGATGCTTTGTGCCAAGGCCAGCCGTAGAAGGCCAATAACATGCTGTGTCCTCAGTTTCTTGTGAGATTTGCTTCACCAAAACATCCTAAACCTGGTAGGCATCGAATACAGCACCGGAAGATGCGAGCTGTGGGTCAGACCTGGTGGCATCGAAGCAACGGCTGCTGTTTCTGGCTTCATCTGCTTGCGGTACACGGGTGCACCAACGACCACTCCTTCCCCATGGTCGTTCTTTCCTGTGGATGGCGGTGTGAATCGGGCTTGTCGAGGGCGCTCAGTAAATGACAACCTTGCCAGTTACTACCATGTTGCAGCTTCACGTGGAATGAGTACCTTGGCATGACTAGGAGCAGCAACCGCAGCAAGGTAATCAACGGGAAGACATTTACAAGTGGCCAACACCAGAGATCTGCGTTTTATTCAAATTTTGTAATGTTCTGGATTGTGCCAGTGGCAGAAGGCTGCAGTGCAGCATGCCTCAGAGCAGATCAGCCAGCAGAGCATGTTTGTGCATGTTTCAATACTTACAACAGTCATGTTTGTTTCTGCATTTGGCATTGGCATTCCGCATTCCGAGGTTTGACCCAATGTCAAGCAGCATGTGCGGAGCTTGCTGGATGCCAAGGCATTGAGCACAACCAGGGTGGTCGCTGCGAGCTTTGGACCAAGAGCATTCAAGCAACCAGGCAGGACCAGGACGAGGACAACTGCTTAAAGGAGACAAGATAATGAAATGAAACAATGTGATTTGACAAGCTGTTGTCTGGCGTCAACTGTAGCGAGTAGTTTAAATTGGGTTCTCAGTGTTTGACGTAGCAGTTTGGTGGAGATTGAATCAATGAATGAGCTTCAACCACATTGTCGTAGTTTGTTGCATGGAGCGGAGTGTTGAAGGTCTTTGACCGGCTACACATGCTTGCGCTTTGATGCTTGGCGCCTCTATCAGGGTAGTAATTGCTATGAAGGCCATGGTGGAAGCCTGTTGCATTACATCACAGAGAAGATCTCCGTTGATGGCTGTAAAGCAGAGTGCTTGAAGAAGGATCATTGTGAGGGCATCTCAGTGAGATCTGGTTGGGAAGAGAGCCCATGCTGGCTCTACACGCAAATCAACCTCAACAGTTGCGTGCTAGATTATCCTGACTATGACTTCTGGCATCGCTTGCAGTAAATATGACTCATTGCATTGAATTGGCCTCGTGCCAAGACTCAACACCTTGTACGTTTAGATCAAGTGCTTGTCTCGTTTTGGCTCCAAGCCTCAACAATGTCAAGTGTACAGTGGGCGTGGCTGGGGTCTCATGGGACAAGTACGAACCAATCCACCTCAGATCTTTTGAGCATCATGTGGCAAATCGATGCTACCATGTACAGGCTTTTGAGGCTAGACCTCAATGAGGCCAAAAAGGATGAGTTCCGGATAAAACATCGCTGTGTACCGAAAAATGGCTTGGCTTTGTAACACCAAGACGGTTCTTGATATTGCAGCTTTTAGGTGAACCTCAATGAAGACTTTGAGTGGCCATTTGGTGGAAGACGAAGATGTGTAAGTCCTTTTTGTCAGTCCCGGAAATTGATTTCACGAAGATTTACCGTGAGAAGCATTGGCTTGCTACTCAAACAGAGTCAAACATGTGTGTGCTGGTTTGGTACTGGCTTGTGACTTGGGCAGAACACTTGTCGTCCAAGAGCTCTTGTGTGGGAATAGAACAGATTCGCCTGGGCCTACAAGGGACCATTTTCTCCATATATTCTCCATTTCGCTGAGGCATGACTAAGACTAAAGCAAGCTTGCCTCTTGTCAATAGTCTACGTGATGCGAAAGGAGTGGCTGGACAGTGTGAAGTCATTCCGCTTGAGCTTGGAAGCGCGGTGGTGATACAATGATCATAAAGGAACAAGCTTGTGCAGTTGGACGAATTTGCAAGCAAGAAACACACATTCATTTGTGCATTGCGAAGTTGACTCGAGTCACATTTGATCAGACTTTTAGGACACTAATCACAGTCTTTCAGGATACCCTTTTTATAGAGAAACGCTTGAAAAGCAAGGATACAGTTTCATGTTGTGGTTGACAATAGCTTGATTGCGCTCTGCAGGCAGTTTTTTCGGATTACATTGTTTAGAGCACACACTCAACTTCTGCATGCATCTACAATCTACATTGAACGCCCTTTTGTGGAAATAGACACTGACTTGACAGAGGAAACCGCAGTGGAGCTGCTGCCATGTTCTTGCAAACAGGCTATCGAGCCGCAGCGAATTGAGAGCGGACGATGGGTCGAGTTTGGAATTTATTGTGCACTTTGTGTGTCATTAGCCTCTTCAAGAGTCCGGTATTGCAATCTCAACAATTATGTGTTGATATGTTTCTCATTCTTGGTTGCCTTCCATTTGCTTAAGGCTGCCCTGGAGAGAGAAGTGGCAAAGCCAAGCCATTTTGATGCTACAGCAAGCCGAGGCAGCAAGAAACTCTTTTGAAGGAAAAGACAAGTTGTCCTGGTCTTGTAAAGGTGGAACTCAATAACTAGAACGTGCTTGGAACCTGTTTCTTTTTTTAAACATACATTATACATTTCATTAGCCAACATTCCTTGCCATTTTGGCTCAAGCTTGATTTCAAGTGAAAAACTTCTCGCTTTGCTCCTTCCCATCCTCCTATCTGATTGCCATGGCAAGCACCAGGAGAGTTCTTTGACTGGGACATTCTCGATGGAGCGGATACGGTGTCTTCCTTCATCCTTGCCCCCCTCTGAACCCTGGACAGGGAGGTCTACAAGTTGGAGGGGGAAGTTAGTGAGAGTGCGTGCAGAGTGGATGATGCCCTGGCGGGTGCAGTCCTCCCTCTCTGCAGAATTCGTGAAGTGTGAGACCCCCTCGCTTGAGGAGCTTCAGGAAAGTTGGCGGAGCTGAGTGACGCCATGTTGGGGCTGAATGTGGATGCTCCTGCTCCTGAAGGTGCAGGCGCCGGTGACCTTGAAAGCCGGACGGAGGGGGATGTTCCTATGTCGTCTTCTCCGCCTACGGCACCTTCGGGCAAGGTGGCGGCAGTGGCTGAAGTTTCAGTGCCAACAGCGACGTCCGGGGTTTCCGTGGCCGCCTCCACGTCCTTGCGCTTGCGATGACGAGGCCCCCCCACGAGAAGGGGACGTAGGCGGTGTAGTCGGTTCCGTACGCATGGGGGCAGGAGTCCGCTCATCCGCCGGGCCGGGGCTCTGGTCATCTGGGGCAGATGGGCCGATCCGCGGCTGATCCAGCCTACCAACACCTTGGTCCACCTGCAGGACCAGGCGGAGCAACAGGGCAGATTCTGCCCCAACTGCAACGGAACGATTCTTTGAAGAGGCGCCCCATGTGCAAGTTTGACAAGCCCCCGCATGACGCAAGGTCAAGGGGGCAGAATTGACGGTGGGTGACGAGACTTGATGCTTGAACGCGATGGAGAACTCCATTGCGACGGTGTGATGTACCAGAGTTTCTCGGAATTGGTCCTCTGGAGAAGCGCTTTGCGTTGAGGGAAGAGGTGCTCCGCAGGCCAGTCGACGATGCCTTCGCTCCACTGGCCAACGCCAGCGCCCTGGGATCCTGTCACACCCCCGCGATCTGAATACGAGGCAGGTCGGCGTCCAATTTCTCATCGAGTCTCACGCAGCGGTGGCGTTCTGGGTGCCATCCCGGTCCTGTTTGTTCACCTGACATTTGGTTCAGACTCGTTGAAATTAACCAACCTGCAAAAGTGTCTGCTGCACCCGTACTTGTCTGTTTTTTTTGGATTTGGTGTTTAAAGAAAAGCATGTCTTGCGGCTGCTAAACATCTATCAAGTGCAGACCCAAAGGCCAACGCCAACCTCGTTGAAAAGAACGACTTCAGCCACTGAGTCTTGTTGTGACACCATGACCCGTCCCTGCAAGAGCACGTTGCCAATCTGCAAACCCCATCATTCATGCTACAAGACCTCAAGACCTCTGGCAGATGAAATTGAAATTTCTTTGGGCCTTGGCCTGCCAGGTGAAGCACAGCAGGGATCTCAGGAGCTTGGCCTTCTCTGAACCAACACTTCCAACAGACGATTCTGATAATCCATCGCTAGCTCCAGTTGCTGTTGCTCTGGCACAGGGACCAGGGGCTCAACGACGAAAGTTTGATCCCTCATTCCCTTTAAACTTTCCTGGTCCTGTCCTTCAACTCTTTTGCAAAACCTTGTTAGGTGTTTGTGGGGCTACCGTTATGGTTTCAGAAATAGCATGATTTTGGAAAAGGTTGAAGCATCGCGCCCCTGGGATGCAACAGAGCTGTTGGGCGATAACTGGACTTTTCTGCTTTCAGACCTCTGCAGACGAGAGTAGAACTCAAAAAAAACGCCTGATGTTTCTGGAAATTTGAAGCCAAATTGGTTCAAACTTAGCTGCTTTATTGGAACATATTGGAGCCGGAGAGATGGAGGCTCTTCTTGTTGTGGTCACCGTCGGCGTGATATGGATTCCACTACATGGGTACTTGTCCAAAGGCGATTTGGATGACCTGCGACAATGGATCGCGTGGGTGACAAATCAGCGGAATGAAGAAGCAAATGGACCCAAAAAACAATTTGTTGAAGAAGAGATGCAAAAGCTTCGACGCTGGAACTACCAGTTGATCAGCCGCTTCTTTACTCATATCGATTTGATTTCAAGCCTGGGAATCTGGCACCAAGCGATTGTAACACCCGCCCCGACCGAGACTATTTGGGCAATCATTTGTACGTTGCATTATTCTCTGCACCTAGCTTTCAATCACAACTGGGTGGAACTGACCCCTTCTCGGATGAAACTCCTCGGGTGCGTAATGCATGCTGCGCTTCTTATGATGATATTTTTTGCAGCGACAGTTGAGAGCTGTGTGAAGTTTGCACTGTTTCAAGGCTGCCATGTCTTCAGTCGGGTTGCCTTGATCTTTACATTTTTGGACCCCTCGATCTCCATTCCTTTCCAAGTTCTGTACACTGCAGCTGAGATACTTGCTTGCTTTTGGGCTTTCGATTTGTCGACGAAGGAGGTTATACCCTTATGCTTGATGCAACTCTTCATGAGTACATTCACTGCAATCTTCTCACTTTCGATCGACTCAATGTTGAAAGGGCGCATTTGTGCACTTTTGGAAACTGCGGATGCGGAGTCCTTGGTATCCAGCTTCCAGCGGATGTTGCGCGGGGTTTGTGATGGTGAAGTGCTGCTAGACAGTGATATGAAAGTGGCCCAGGAAAGTGAGGGCTTGAAGCATTTAATTTTGACCAATGTGACTCTTGTAGGGAGATCTTTTCAAAGGTTGCTTGCTGATGAAGAACGTGATCGTTTCAACGAATTTATCGAAACTTCCACTCAACCATCTGGCGTGTCCAGGCCGAATGATTCAGCACTTCCTTCGTGCTTAAGGGTTTCTTTCCGGGATTCTGCAGGGATCAAGGTTGCTGCGGACATTTACCATGTACCTGTTCCAGGCCTTTTTGGTGCAAAGGAACCACATCATCTCATGGCTTTCAAGGAGGATCCCGAATCCCG